GTGGGAGGTCGTACCTCCAGTACGTTCGAAGTTCTGTGCAGTAGCCGCCTATGGCGTCGAAGCTGGCATCGGATAAGTATTTTCTCTTCGGTGGGCGCGCAAGTTGTACGAAACACGGGGCGCTCAGGGATTCCCCCGCAGCTACGAGCTCATGCTGGATCGCCCATCGCCAAAACTCTAGATCAGCGTGGAACTCCTTCCCGAGATCTACGATGTGGTTCTGGTTACCGTTCGCAGTGTGCAAGCCTGTAAGGCGCAAGAGCCGCCAGACGAAGTACTTTCCAGCTCGAATCACAAACGTCATGTTCCAAAGTTTTCCAGCTATGCTGAAAACCTCTTGTGCGGTCGCTTGCCGCCTATCTTATGGCCACTCGTTTTCCAGGGCTGTTTTTAGTGCCTGCGCCTTCTTTTCTGGCACGGAGATAGTGAGGGCGTGAGAATCGATGGTAAACCCCAGAAATTCAAGTTTGGTATCCCAGTCCGAGCTCTTCTTTGGGGCGAGGATAGGCGTCTCTCCAGCTTCGTGACCGAACGCACGTACGTAATCGGAGGCGAGGGACTGGGAGGCGATCAAGGCAGAACGGTCGGTATCGGAAAGTTGTGCTCTGAGCAGTGCGTGATCGTCGACATAAACCCAAGTCTCGAAAGGGCTGTTCAGCTCGCCCCCTGTACTCGGCCGAATGACGACATCGCTGGGTACCGGCGTGGGTTCTCCCTCTTCCCACCTATCCACAATCTTCACATGCTTCATCATGTCTACTCCTTCTGGAAGAATTTGTGCCGTGCTTAGGTTGGTATTGCGGTGTGCGTGTTCAGCCGCCGACGCCGTGACTCCGAAATGTCCAGGGGATCCCGTCCACCCAAACGGGAGTCTCAAGTCCACCACCAGCAAGTCTCCTAGGGTGTAGCCAAAGTTGTGTGCTTGGTCTGGATTTATCCGGACGTTGCGAAAGGCATCGTTCACGTCGGTGGTGGCCATGAGCAGGTGTAGCTTCGGGCATTTGGCTCGCAGGCTGACTAACGCGGTTAGGAAACCGGGCAAGGCTCCGGCGCACAGGCACGGCGGAATGGTATCTGCATTAGTGTCTGCGTTGAGACCCCCCTTTGTTGTTCTGTCTGTTGGGTTAAACGAGAGGTCGTTAATCACTCTAGGCTTGTGCGTCACCACCACCCCGACAGGCGAGACTCTAAGGTTAGGGATCTCGTGAGCTGAAGTTTTCTCCAACACCAGGCACCTTTCCCTGCGTACATCGTTTCCAAGTTTTTCCCAAAGTAACGGCAGGTGTCCGTCTGCTGAGGAGTGATTACCGTAACGCAGCGCACGCTCTAAGTCTGTGCTTGAGGTCTCGGTGATAACCGGCACGCCCCCCGTAATGATAGTCATCAGTTCTTCGATTTGTGGAAACCCCTTCCGCCTTCCGAAATAGTCTCTGACGGCTGCGGGGTCTACTGGGGGGGTCACCATGTTACCACCCAAGCAGCGCGCTACGTCGCCTATGCGTCCTCCGTGTTCGAGGATCATGCTCGTTCCCGTTTTTGCGAGAAGGTAGAGGATGCGCTCTCTTTCTGTCTGATCGAGTTCTGGGTTGTTGAGGGCTTCTTTTTGTTCGTGCCATCGAGAGCTTCTCTGCGACCTATCACTCGAAACCCCTCCATATCGAGGCCATCGAGCCGACCCGTGATCCCAACGAGCCCCGATTTTTGGGAGCCTGCTGAAGCTACTGGTTTTCTCGTTTGGCGTTGTGAGTGTTCCATTTGCGACAAGGTTGCACTGAACATCCGGACCTGCGGCTCCGTGAGCATCCTTCCCTACGGTTCTTCCAAGTGCCAACTCTGTGCTGCGAAAGCCGTGAACATCCGGACCTGTGGCTCCGTGAGCATCTGTCCCTGCGGTTCCTACTACGGCGGATTGGTGGGCGTGTGTTTACTGAACATCCGGACCTGCGGCTCCGTGAGCATCCGTCCCTGCGGTTCTTACAAGTGCCAACTCTGAGCTGTGGAAGCCGTGAACATCCGGACCTGTGGCTCCGTGAGCATCTGTCCCTGCGGTTCCTACTACGGCGAATTGGTGGGCGTGTGTTTGCTGAACATCCGGACCTGCGGCTCCGAGAGCGTCTGTCCCTGCGGTTCTGGCTGGTACGGACTCTGAATTGTGATTGCACTGAACATCTGAACCTGCGGCTCTGTGAGCGACTGTCCCTGCGGTTCTCTCTAGTGCCAACCCAAAGGATAGCGGTACCGACCCTTGCTCACCGTAAAAACAGGTCGGCGAAACAGACCCAGGTGTGGAGACACCGGGAACCCCGACGGATCTCCCGATGTCTGCGAAGAGGGTACCGGCTCCCGCTGGAGACCCCCTCCCTCCTGATGTCGGCTCTGCCTGAAGGCAGAGCCCGCCCCGTCAAGTCCCGCTCCCGGCCCCGGCCCCGCGGCCAAAGTTGGCGCTCCCGCGCCCCCCCCCTCCTCCCCTGCCGCCGCCCGCCATCACACTGTAGTGGGCGACATTTCGCTGCTGCTGTCCCCGCCCCCCTCCGTTGGCGGCCTGCGCCGGCGGTTGCTGCTGCTGCTGTTGTTATTGCGACGTTCAAATCACCTTGTGTCGTAAGTTTCAAATAACACCTCTTTTGGTGGCCTTTCTGCTGCGAATGCGCACCTTTTGACATATGTTTCGCCTTCATTGGCCCCGGGGATGGTGCGTTGGTGGCCCCGGAATTTCGAAGACACTTCCCCGCGTTAAAGACACTTTTTTGTTGGGAAAACGTGGCGTGTCTTTTAAGAGGGGTCGACTGTACCAGATGAAGACCAAACGCAATCAGGCAGAAAATAATACGAAGCGCCCGCCTTACCTGACGTCCCACTTGGAGTCGTCGTCGTCGAGCAGTGGATGAACCGAGGCTACAACAGTTCGGACTTGTCTCCTTGATCCTGAGGAGCTGCATTGGTGATGTCGCAAGAATCCGTAGGCCGGGAGTATGGGAGCAACGAAGATGTCAGCGACGTCCTCTGTCACAAGGGGTCGTGGTTACGCAGATTGAACACCAACGCAAGGCGGGCGCCAACACCCCAAAAACATTACAACCCATGTACACCACGCTCGCGTCACACACCAGTGCAGCGCAGCAAAGATCGGTGTTACAAGCACTTCCAAAATCTTAAACGTCCAGAAAACATGAAAGAGGGCTCACCTCCCTGCATGGGGGTACAGTAGAGGTCCCTGTTTAAGGCCGCCCTGTGACAGACGAAATGACCGGCCTTAAAGAGAGCACCCGGCCTTATTGGAAACGGGTCTTGTTTAAGGCCGGTACTGGCCTTATTGAGGAATACTGATGCTGCACTCAGGCCTTTCGGGAAGGTGGCGGGCCCCAACGTGTCTGAAGGCTCGCAGGATGCACGTTATACATATACAGATTAATATTGCCACACGTCGTGACAAAAAATGATGTTGCATGTTTCCAAATATCACTTGCTGCCGTAGTAGCTGACGTCCACAAAAATATGTATTTCACTTGGTACGTGCGAAGTATCTCATCGAGTGACTCCCTCGTGCAGGTCGACAACAATACTGCCAATCCTGATCAGAATGAGAGGACGCCCACAGCAAAAAGTCCAACGATCTGCACAACACAACAACCATCGAAAAATGCACATGTTGCACCAACTGACCAACTGGTGCTTACCCGTCAAACACAAAGTCGCCAAAAAAATCGAACAGCCCGACCTCTCTACCCCCTGATACACTAACAACGGCACACGAAAGTTGAAAATACAAGGATGAAACCGGACACGACACCGGACCCGGGAGAACCACTCAACTGACGCCTTCCCCCATGCGCCTATCGAGTCTACAAAAATTGCCTAATGCCTGTCTGCCTCGCTGCCTTCNGAAAGTTGAAAATACAAGGATGAAACCGGACACGACACCGGACCCGGGAGAACCACTCAACTGACGCCTCCCCCCATGCGCCTATCGAGTCTACAAAAATTGCCTCATGTCTGTCTGCCTCGCTGCCTTCGAACCATGCGCTGCGATCATTGCCATTTTGGCCTTCTGTAGATGGAAAGCGGCGTCACGGTTGCCGCTCCCCTCCGCTGCCGTCTCCAGAGCCCCGAAGTGCGACGAAAGTGCCGCGTACGGCCTAGGTGCCATATGACTTGAGGGTTCCTCGGTCGCTTCGTCGTCCGAGCTCTCCTCCGCGGGAGCCGTGCCATCAAGCAGCTCCGTCATCTCGTCCACGGCGTCCTGCTGCATGGCTTCCACAGCATCCGGCTGGTCCTCCACCGTCGCCCACACTTCAGCCGCTCGCACAGCGGCAGCATCGGCGGGCTCTCCCGCAGTGATGCCCAGGGCCGCCAGCATTTCTGTCAACTCCGTGTCAACACCGTAGGACTTCTCCTGTGCTTCATGCACCCGTGAGCTCATGCTGGTGAGGGTCTTTGCGAGAAGATCCACAGACTCCTTGTCTGCACGCCCCAGCACTGGCCCTCCCGCCGGGGCCGCGGAGCCACTCGGCCTGTTCTTCCCGTGCGCATATGTGAGCTCAGCCTCCATATCTTCGGGGAGCGTCTTGGCCTTCACGAAGCACCTGGTGGGCGAGGTGCGGGGAAAGCAGCGGCACATTCGCAATAGAGAGGGTGTCGGGCACAAGAAACGAGGACATCTGTTGGCAAACGAGTTATCGAGCGATTTCCAATTCATTTGTCTTTTTCACAGCGACACGAAACAGCTAAGGGGTTTCAACCCTGGCACACAAATATACATCAGATGTACACCGGTTTCTACCTTTGCAGATGGAAGTATTTTCGAAGCAATACCTGGCGATGGTCGTGGGTGTGATGCTGCTCCAGGCGGTCTTGAGAAGGTCTGCCGCGTCCAGCACGTGGGGGTGGTTTCCCTCCGCCAAGCCCGCGGTCCCGCGCGCCATCTTGCGGCTCTTGGCCTCGGCGCGCAGTGCATGAGCCACGAGCATGGTTGACACCTTGGCGTCGAGGAGCTCCCTCCTGCAGATCACCTTGGTGGCCGCGATGATCCCCATGTCCATGGGCTGGTGTACGCTGGTGCAGTTCGGTGGGTACATCACCACCTCCACGTGCCCGACAGGGTCGATCAAATCACCGTGCGACGAGCAGCCATCCATGAGCAGCAGCACGGGCCGTGAGTCCAGCGCCGAATGAAGGGTAAGACAACCTCCTGCCACCACTTCTTGAAGGTCGGCCCATCAGACCACGCGTTGCTTTGCGCGAAGTACTTGAGAGGACATTACCGGCGCCTGAAGCAGCGCGGGTTCTTGGCCGTGCCGATGATCGCCAGTGACACTTTCGCAGTGCCAGTGGCACTCGCGCACATGATCGCAGATATGCGATCCTTGAACTCCATGTTCTTGCTCCCTCTAGTGGTCTTCCGATCTTCGAACCCGGCGAGATACGTCCTCCTGGCTATGAGCTTCCATTGGATGCCGGTCTCGTCGACGTTGACGATGTTCCTCGCCGGGTACTTGTCGCAAGCAGCGCGGACCTCCTCCATGCCTTCTTTGATGCGGTCGTGGTCGACGCTGCCGGCCGTCCCATGAAGTTTGTGGCTGTGGAGGTCGTTGCGCTTCACGAAGTTCTTGCTCCACTTGTCGCCAGCCTGGAAGTCCTCGAGCCTCTTCCTCACAGAGTCAGTCGTTTTCGCCGAGCCCAACAGGGTGGCCTTGGCAGAGCGGCCGAACGATCGGATGACGTTGCCGGTGACGGTGTACTTCGCCATCCGCGCCTTGTTGACGAGGTCCAAAACTAAAGAATCCAACTGTACAAAGTCAGCAGCAAGCACCACAGGGTTCAAATCGGTGTGCGCGGGTTAGAACAGTACTGCTTTCACGGATGAAAAGTGTCACAAATTTACGCACCAGCACCAAAGTTCACCCACGCAGAGACTACACTTGTGGAAAGGTTGACGTTTGCCGACCCTAGCCAAAATGTACATGCAGATAAAACGAGCAGTGGAAAAAAAATGTTCTTAAAAATGTGTGCGCCTTTTTTGTTGTGTGTGGGTGGTGCATCAAATGTAAAATGTTTGTGATGCTTCCAATGCAGTTGACCGCGCAAAGCACAATCTCAGTGCATATCCAGACTGCTTTGGGGGGGGTCGCTATTTGCACACATCAAGCACTGCGATTTTTCTTGAAAGTGCGATATGTACCGAGTGGTACAAACGGCAGGCTGAAAAAGAAATAAATAACAGGAGCATACCTCTGGGAAATCCCCCGCCCAAAAATTCTTCCTGGTGGTGGCGCTGCTGCGAGTTTTGGCGGCCTGATTCTCTATCTTCGCCCGCTCGGCCTTGACGGTACGCACCGTGCGCTCCCCGCAGTTGAACTGCTCTGCGATCGACTTCTGCGTCCGCGTGCCCTTGTCCAGCAGACGGAGGATCTCCATCTTGGTGCCGATGTCCATCCGCGTGCGCGAACCAGTCATGTCCGGGTGATTGGCTGGTTTCGTTTTTTTTGGTCTTGCCGTGTCTCCGCTCTCCGTGGCTGACCCTTTGCGCTTGCCCTTGCCAGCTGTCGAGGCACTACTACCCCTTTGCTTGGAGGCAATGCATGCAAAGCAGATGCGGGCGATTTCGTACTCCGCATCTTGGTCTTGTTCCCCACACAGTCCGTGCAGTCTGCCGCCACACCCTCCGTGACATTGGTGGCCGTGAGGGGCTACTGGCGTCTGGTCTGGCAGTTGGCACAGCTCACCAGCCGCACAAGGCATGTGTGCCCCTACTGGTTGGGTCGGTAGGGGTACGCTAGGTATTGCTGTTGTGTAGATCTCTGGAGTGGTTGTGTTGCGGCTTGAATAATGCTGCCGAAGAACTGGGTGCGTCACACCAAAACCGGCCTTGTATAGGGTGCGCGGACGCCCTAGTCGGTCTTAAATAGGAACTATGCCTGTTTGAGGCCTGTGCGGCCTCAAAGAGCAATGCAAGTGTGACAGACGATTTCACCGGCCTTAAAAAGGGTCACCGGCCTCAAATTTGCGGCCGTAAACAGGGACCGTTACTGCTGTACAACAAAAAATATGTTCGGAATTATGCGCCAAGCGCGAAGAAGGGGCGGATAGATCGGAAAGCAGGCAGGCGTTGATATAAATATGGATGGAGCCATCACACAGAGACCACCACTGCCACTGCACGCGCTCACACCTCACCCGACAGCACCAGTCAGACGTGTATGCAGGACTTCTGCTGTGTTGCAGCGTGTGGACGAAGCTCTCATCAATCAGCTGCTTTGCTGCTGCTGCTGCTGCTGCTGCTGCTGTTTGGATGTGTACTACTACTGCTATAGACTACGCTTCCCTCGCTGACGCTGCTAGCAGCAAGCAAAGGGTTCTAACAAGTCGCCCCCGCCGCCTCCTATGTGTGCATTTGGTCGCCCTTGGCCTGCAGCAGTCAGTTCAGTGTGTACGTCTCACACTTTCTGTTCAGCGGTGCGTCTGTTGTGGATAAAAATATCGGCCTGCAGCGAGATGAGACAGACCGCAGATTGGCTTGTGTGTCCTTGTTGTCCCCGTTATACGCCCCTGTCAGCAGGCAAATGGTTTCAAAAAGCGCTCCCGACGCCTAGCATGACGTGGTCCTTTGGCCGTCCTTGGCCTGCAGCAGTGCAAGTCTCGTTGTCTCTGTTTTGGGGGGTGCATCTGTGTGGGAAGCCCCAAGATCGGCCTGCAGATAGAGGGACAGGCAGCAGATCGACCGGTTTTGCCCCCGTCGCTTGTGCTGCCGACAACACGCAGCTGGCTCTGAAGTCGCACCCGACGCCTCCTACGATGTGTGCCTTTGGCTGCCCTTGGCCTATAGCAGTCTCATGTGCTGCTGTTCTGGTTGTGTCGTGAGTTATCTACGTGTGGGTGTGCTGCTGCTCTGCTGCGTCGGTCTTTCGGGGGATTCCCGCTCGGCGGCGCAGCCATCAGCCAAGCATCTGTATCTGTTGTATGCACAAAATGTCCTACAAAATGGACAGGTGACTGGTGGGAGGATGGGTATCTACTTGGCTCCACCCTCTAAAACCCATATGATTTCTTGCTGGTTTTTCCGGTCCTACAAGAAATTGCTTCACGTATGGGTCCGGTGCCTGAAAGAGAGGCTATGTGATGTGCAGGTGCCAAGACGAGTCCGGGGCACGGGTGCTGATGAACACATGAAAAAAATAGAAGCAACCACAAAACCAAAATAGTCTTATTTGATTAGACAATGTAGACTTGAAAGGACGAGAAACAGGTCGTAGTAGGCGCGCATGCAAACCCTGAAGCAGAAGCAAAAGCGCACCTTATCACCCAAAGCCTTCCGCATGTTGCTAACAAAATAGCCAGCCTTACAGCAGTAGTCCTTTCCCTATCTTCCTCATGTCCGCAAGCTTCTTACTCTCGTGAAGGCAGGTCGTGAACGCCCCACGGGTCTTGCAGTGCGTCCAATCCTTTCTCCCCCCACCGATGCTGCCCTCGGAGTCTACGAGGCATGCCGCTTGAGATTGCCGGCTTTCTGTTTCCCCCACCCGCACCTGATGCATTCTTGATCAGTCTGTCCTTGGAGTTTGGGAGGCGCGCGCGTCCCGGACCCAGCGGGCTGCTGCTTTATTTACCCTTACCGAAAACACGCTGGTTGTTGTTGTTGTTGTTGTTGTTTTTCTTCACAATAAACTCGTGTCAGTTGCTAATCCCAAAATCTAGCAAAGACTCGGTCCGTGGTCACAAAAATGCTAGAGCCATCAGAAGATCTAAAGAACACACACACACTATTAGCAAGAAAAGGGTACGCAAGCCCGAGGAGGTACACCTGCAATCCCTGCAGCACGTTTGCATGCTCACAACTGAACTACACGCCCACACACTACAAATCGACTACAGCAGCAGCATCACCCCCCTTGTCCCGCATTTAACCAAAATGAATGTTTGTTGACTACAGCGTACTGCTGTCTGAAGTGCAATCTGTAAAATAATAACACCATGGTGCATGGTACACAAGCTCGGGGCATGCAGCTGCTGTCTGAAGTGCTGTCAGAATGAGTCCGTGGACATAAAATGAAGCACAACCAACCAACCAAAGCCATCATTGCAATTGACAATCACCCGAATCTGTCCAGATCATCTGTGTTAGGCACAGCAGTGTGAACATCGACACTGACTAGGAATCGTTCCACACTGAAGGGGTCTTCCACGATGCAGGTACACAAAAAAGAGCACCCGGGTTATCCGCGCCATCTCTGCCACGTCTCTCTACAAAACCAGTGACGTCATCACACACACCCAACACCTGTATTCAGGAAAAAAACGGGAAAATAATTGACAACACAAGAGATGTTTGTCCGTGCGCCACGGTTCGATGCCGTCCGACTGCTCCGGTTCCGCTGCTCCGGTGCCACTGCTCCGGTGCCGCTGTGGCCAGTCCTAGCATGACCAACCTCGACCCGCTCCGCTTCGTACACGCTCTCGTTGCTGTCCATCCCAGTCGGTTCCTCGCTTTCTCCCTCGTTGCACTTAGGGTTCTTATTCTAAACATTATCGCGCCGAAGGGTCTGTTCGTGAGGTGGATTATGCCATCCTTACGAAGGCTAGACTACTGCGGTAGTACTCATGTGGTTTTGAGCTATGCAAGTGCGCAAGTGCGTGGCCGTCCATCGGTCATTTGGATATTCGGGGTATCTCCGGTAGTAGAATCTGTGGCAAGTTGTCGCGCGTTCCCTGCTGTCATGTGTTCAGAGTTCCGAATGCGTCTTGCGACTGTTGCTCGCGTGCCTCGGTGTTTGTGATGCACCCGGGTGCCCACTCTCTTCCGTTGCCTGTGTCTACGAGGACAACCAGTAAAACGACTTCACCATCTCTTCACATTGTCAACCGGGTCAGCCGTGCTCATCCAGCAGCACTCGGCTTGGGGCCAATCAACAGGGTCAACCAGCCCAATCAGCTCGTCACCACCTGTCCCCTCCTCCTTGGATGGCAAAACCAGGTTACTGAGACAGTACAGCTCCCTCTAGCAATCCTAGGGCCGTGTACATAGTGCCCGTCCACTTTTCTGATGACGTATGTCTCCGCGCTCAAGCATGAGATGGGCATTGCTGCCTACACCGACGGCCTGGAGGCCCGCGCATCTGCACCTTTGTACCTGACGCACCAGTGCCGACCCAATTCCACCACTACGCACGCCTCGTTGCGGGTGCGCCGCAGCAAGAAGGTATCGGTCCCTTGAGGGTGAGTCTAGCCCTGCTCGCTAGAAAGACCCCCCCCCTCGCTATGGGTCATGCCTACGCAAAACCTTGCCGAGGCAGCGAGGGGAAGATGGTAGACGGGCTTGGTGCGTGCGTAGGTGCCATCGCACACAGCCTTCACGCTAGCGGCTACAGCAGAAGCCATCGTGGACAGACGGAAAACTGTAAGCAGTAGCGTGAACAATTGGGTCCTCATCTCGCCTGTTGCCCATCTTCTGATGTTTGCGCGCACGAGGCAGGTCTGCCCGGTGTGGCGGGGCTGCTGGTGCTGTGCAACTCCCGTGTGTGATTTTATTGCGGAGGGACTCCGCCGCATGTGTCCCCGCATCGAGCGGGGTCCCGCGCATATGATCTGTTCGCGCTGTCTAGCCCTTGGTCGCCAGCGCCCAGAACACCAAAATACGTATCGCTAGGAAGAGTAACCTCACTGCTACCCTCACCACAGAGGGGGTTTAATCACGAAATGGTCAAGAAAAAGGCTCAACTTTGTACGAAAAATAAGGAAAACGGGCCAAGAAACATTGCTCAATCTCGGCCACAACGTACGAAACGCCCCAATAAGAAACGTGATGGTGCGATACCCCCATGACATCAGAAATCTGCGGTGCTCCCAACCCCTTCCCAAGCTGAAAAGAAGTGCATTCTTTTGGAGGAGTAACCAGAAACGGGTACACCCGGATAGATTATCACCATGTCAGGGTACAGTTGGAAATCAAAACAACACCAATCTCCGACAGCGTCCGCCGTAGATCGCGGCGAAACCAATAAACCGCTATCTGTGTCCTGTGTGTCCTGTGCCTCGGAAGCATGATGCACGAGGCAGGTCGTGCCCGTTTTTCTCTCTTCTCTGTGCTTTTTCTGATCAGTACCACACCGAAGTACACGCGCGTCAAGCGAGTCCGACCCTCTGTTGAGAAGGGCCGGTATCCTATGGAGGCGGTGCCCATGAACGATGAACGAGCGAGCGTTGTTGGTGGTTTGTTTGTGGTTGTGTATGTATGTGTGGTACACCGTGTGTGCGGTATACGTTTTTTTCTGCGGGTTTTATGCTAGAGCGTTGGGCGCCGGGATTAGACTATACGACCATTTCTGGGTACAAAATTGACCTCTTTTGGGTACACCAGTAACCAATATCGGTCACACCAGAGGGTCCTAATTCCAGCGCAACTTGTACCTGATGAAGGTTTCTTCCGAAATTGGTACAATGGTTTTCGGCCAATCAGCTGACAGCCTGGGGGTGCAAGCGTGTTGATTTCTAACTGTACCCTTATGTGGTGATAACGTACCCGGGTAAACCCGTCTCTGGTTATTAGTTTTTTTTTGTAGGGGGGAGAGTCCCCCCCCCCCCAGCCCGCGCCCCTGCTGTTTACAGTGAGTGCTGTACTGTAGTACCGCCACACATCGCGGACAACCATGTGCTCTCCGCTGTTGTACGGGTTTGATGGCACTCTCCCACCAACTCTCTCGAGGGCTTGATGTGGATTTTCCTCAGAGATTAAAAGACAGAAAAAAGAAAATACGAAGTACTTACTGAGGAATAAGAGAATCGGGAGGATGCCACATTCCAAAGGAAGAAGAAATGTCATTTACGAAATGGACGACTTGGGGCGGTACTTCTACCCAAAAGAGGGATTGGTGAGGCTCGAACCGATTTCGACGTTTCGTAACTGCGGGCGCTATCTGTAAGATCGAACGTTCTCCAAGCGAGAGATAACGTCGCCCACGGTGCGGGACGAGGTTATGCACGACTCTTATTTTCGCGGCATCAGATGGACCGGCGGTAGATGGGAAGAATCTATCGATTCCAACACCCAGTTGCAGCTGCAGCAGCAGACCGCTCGCTACTTCTGCTGTCTGTGCGTCGCTACTTCTGCACACACTGTGGTGCGTGGTTCGTGCAAAGAGCGGCCCGCAGGCCCGCAGGACACAAACATGGGGGGTACGCGGCAGAAAAATGGAGGTACCCCTTTATCGTATATTCTGTCGGGACCCCGCTGCTCAGCTAAACGAATTTCCTGTAAGCGGGGAGTTTCCTTAACGCGAGCGTCCTTAAGGCGGGGTCGACTGTATGTCAAAGGGGTGAAAGACGCAAGACGCACCTTCATCTTCCCTTTGATTGAGTGGCAGTTCTACCGCAGCAGTTTGAACGCAACGACAACAGATCACGGGTGTGATGATGGTGCTTGGAAATCCATTGAGACGGCCGGATACTTGCTGGGTACCGTCGCGTCCTCGATTCACTACTGTCGCCTCGTTCTTTCGTTCGATAGATTCTCACACAACCCACTTGGTTCGATTCTCAGGTGGGAAATAAACGGTGACTTTGTCGGCGTCGGAGTTACGCTCGAGACATTTTTCGAAAGCGTCGGGATCCACCAGGTGAGAGCAAGAAGGAGAAGGAGAGGCAACCTAACCCGACAGAGCAACTTTTGTCTTTCGGTAGCATGAACACTACTGCAATATGTACATAGGTGGTGTTGCAGACAAACTATGGTACTGAAGAACTGTACCTCCAAAGGACTAGGAACGAAATATGACAAGGACTTACAGCTGCTGTGGTTCACGGATACTGCCTCTATTACAAGAACATTCGCACGATATATTATTCTCTGTCTACCTGTATCTATCCCGCCCCATCGACTCTGACCGAACTTTCTCGAGTTCGTGCACCCTGGGCGCACAAAAAGGCGATCTATCAGCGCCAACCCTTCGACATCCCTCCGCAACATCCGCCAAAAGCATATGTAGAACGTACCTGTGGTGTAGGAAATTCGAGTGTGTTCAACGCTGTTTCTTCGGGGGAAAATATTTTGCCTGTGAGGCCGAGTCTCTATTACGGTTTGATTACTTTGAAGATTTTTTTTCTCTCGTGGAGAAAAAAACGAAAATCGAATCGATGAACTTGCAGCATCTCCCCTTAAAGTAACTCTGCCAACAAGGGATGCATCGACAAAACCGGTGAGTACTGCTCCCATGCAAATCAAACCCCCTTATTGAACCATGGAACCGCTGCACCTGCTCCACGCCGCCACCCCTCTCTTCCCCCTCCTCCCCTTGTTACGGCCGTCCCTTTTTTTTTTGCAGTGTACCGTGACGTCGCACCCCGACGGTGGCCGACACGAGTTCGAGGTGACGGTCAAGTACGTCCGGCGGGAGATTCGGGACCTGACGGACCGGGACCGGGAGACGTTCTTCAACGCAATGTCGGTGCTGCAGCGTGTGCCCAGCGCCGTCGGGCGTGAAATCTACGGGGACAAATACTACAGCATGGACTACTTCACCCGACTGCACTTGTACGGCGGTGAGGACGAGTTTCTATTGGAGAGGGCTGCGTTTTGTTTGAAGCCGTAAGGGCCATCTGCTATATGTGTTGACAATAGTGATACGATTGCCTCATGTCTCCGCTGAGCTGCTCAAGGTCTTCCCCACATATCCTCCGCTCTTGCTCGTTACGTGCTTTCTATTTTCTGAGTGGTACCGCTCTGGCGTTCGCCGGTGCGCCCCCCCCCCTCTGCCCCCCCACATCTCGCAGCTGTGCTCCATGCCCAAGCCGACGAATGCTTGGAAGGAAAACGCATAATGCAGTACTTTGGTCGGCCTCATGAGTCAGGGTGTGTGGTTGTTCTCGGGTCCTAGACTTGCATCGGTGCATGTTTCAATTTTTTTTTTCTTGCTTGGGGCCCTTGACTGTGTACCTCGTTCGCGAAGGAAACTCCTTCTCAAAATCGTGCATTGTTCCCGGTATTGTAGGGGGCGACAAGACCTGCGACCACTGGCACGAGGGGACTGGGTTCATCAACGCCCACATGGGGTTTACGCTCATGTTCGAGCAAGCCCTCCAAGCCGTGAACCCCTCCATTGCCGTCCCCTACTGGGACTTCACCATCGTGAGTATTGCCCATATCGTTCCCTCAAGTGCTACTACTCCGACGTGACCAAAGCGAGCAGAGGACGAGAAGCCGTCCAGTACGTCCTGTTGACCGCGAGCGGTCAGCAACAGGCTATTTTGTTGGCTGACTTTGGCTTTGCGGCGATACAGGGCAAGTTCATTGCTTGTAGTGCAAATGGTGGTGGCGGATCCGTAGATGCATGGGAGGTAGGCTTTCTACACGGCCAGGTCGCCCGTCAACATGTGTGTGCAGTTGCGTACTGTGGTCCACCCCGCCCCGGGTCGAGATTCTTCTTGCACGAGCTTGCAATATTCATCCGTGTAGAGTTGTGGTTGCAAAGAAGCGCACAGCTACCGGGCGGGGAGCTTCCTGTGACTGGTGAAGTGTACGCAGTTATGTGTGAGCGCTCCTACGAACCAGGAAACGATTCCGTTTCATTACCTAGATGAATCGTCGTGGGTTGTGGTCCACGACATGAGTTTGGCAGCTTAAAGGCCGCCGAAAGGCCATGACATGGGCGCTTCGATGGGCGCCACGCGGGGTATCATGTTCAGGTTGTTCAGCATATATATATATATATATATGTCTATAGTGTTTTGCTACGGAAGCAAGCTAGATTCCTGCATCACTCCTTGTTCCGCACAGCGTAAAACAGTCACAGAACCGGCTATCTAAATGGTTCAAAGCCCTTCTAGACTGTATGATTAAAGCTTGGGTAAGGTGAAGGGCGGGCTGCGAGTTGGGCGCGGTTACTCTCTCAAAGACCCATCGATGAAGCCACTTACAGCTTTCGTTTTGGTCCAGCGTGTCGTCGGAGCCTCCGCTCTGTCCTGGCCCGATATCTGGCTCATATCATTTCACGAGGTTAGACGTGGCGTGGGGACTAGGGGTTGTCCGGTTTCAACTCCCACCTACGTCTCGATGCTGAGGCTCAGCATGTGGAAAGCATCCTCTTCACAACGTCGCACGTTTGGTGTCGTCCCGCGTGCTTTAACAGGAGGGCACTCCGCATGGCGACTCGACAAGCTTCAGGAGCAGCTCGGTTTTTTCAGACGACTGGTTTGGCACAACGACCCCTGAAAACGTGAGCGACAGCACGCTCTCAAGGGGG